ACTATATAGTAAGAGTATGTTTAGCTTTGTTAGAAACTGCTAACATATCTTTTTTTAAAAAACAGCTTCATTCAGATATAACTCACTTATCACACAATTCACTCATTTAAAGTATACAATTCAATGGCTTTTATTATATTCACAGAGCTGTGCATCCATCATCACAATCAATTTTAGAACATTACTTCCAAAAGAAACGCCACATCACTTAGCCATCACCCTCGATCTTCCATCCTTTTCAGCCCTAGGCAACCACTAATCTACTTTTCTTTTCAATAGACTATTTTTGTAGGGCAGTTTTAAGTCCACAGCAAAACTGAGAGAAGGTACAGAGATTTCCCATATCTTTTGCCCCACACATCAACATCTGCCACCAGATAAAACATTTGGAAGAATGGTGAACCTACATCAACACCTTATTATCACCAGGAGTCCACAGTTTACGTTAGGGATCACACCTGGTGTTTTACATTCTATGAGTTTGGACAAATGTATGACATGTATCGACAATTATAGTATCATATAGAGCAGCTATACTGCTCTAAAAATCCTCAGTGTTCCATCTACTTATCTCTTCCTCCCCCATCCCCTGGTAAACACTGATTTTTTTACTGTCTCCATAGTTTTGCCTTTTCCAGAATAGTTGGATACCAACAGTATGTGGCCTTTTCAGACTGGCTTCTTTCACTGAGTAATATGCATTTAAAGGTTCCTCCATCTCTATTCATGGCTTGATAGTTGATTTCTTTTTAGCGCTCAATGCTATTCCATTGTCTGGACGTACCACGGTTTTTAATCCATTCACCTGCTGAAGGACATCTTGGTGACTTTCAAGATTTGGCAATTATGAAAAAAACTTCTGTAAACATCCATGTGCAGGTTTTTTTGTGGACATAAGTTTTCAACTCCTTTGGGGAAATACCAAGGAGTGTGACTGATGGGTTATGTGGTAAGAGTGTGTTTGGTTTGGAAGAAGCTTCCAAATTTTCTGTACCATTTTCTATTCCCACCAGTAATGAATGAGAGAGTCGCTGTTGCTCCACATCCTCAACAACACTAGGTGTTGTCAGCGTTCCAGATTTTGGCCATTCTAATAGGTGTGTAGTGGTGCCTTGTCTTAATTTTTATTTATTTATTTATTTATTTATTTATTTAGGCGACCCTTGGTTGACCTCACAGATTGCAAGGACCTTGTCAGCTTACAATCTTTTATTTTTTACGTCTACAGCACCTGGTCTTCCTGGGTGGTCTCCCATCCAAGTACTAACCAGGCCCGACCTTGCTTAGCTTCCGAGATCAGACGTGATTGGGCTTGTTCAGGGTAGCGTGGCTGTAGACTCTTGTCTTAATTTGCAAATCACTGATGACATATAATGTGGAACGTGTTTTCATACACTTATTTTCCGTTCGTATATCTTCTTTGTTGAGGTGTCTGTTATGATCTTTGGCCCATTTTTTAATTGGGTTGTTTGTTTTCTTACTATTGAATTTTAACAGTTCTTTGTGTATTTTGGATAAAAGTCCTTTATCAGATATCTCATTTGCAAATATTATCTCCAATCTGTGGCTTCTCTTATTATTCTCTTGTGTTTTTCACAGAGCAAAAAAATGTAGTTTTAATGAAATTTAGCTTATCAATTCTTTCTTTCATGGACTATGCCTTTGGTGGTGTTGTATCTAAAAAGTCATCGCCAAATCCAAGGTCATCTAGATTTTTTCCTATGTTAATTCTAGGAGTTTTCTAGTTTTGCATTTTACCTTTAGGTCTGTGATCTATTTTGAGTTAATTTTTGTGAAGGGTGTAAGGTCTGTGTCTAGATTCAGTTTTGTTTTGTTTGTTTTATTTTTTTGCACGTGGAAGTCTAATTGCCGCAGCAGCATTTGTTGAAAATACTATCTCTCCATTGTATATGCTTTGCTCCTTTGTCAAGGATCATTTGACTATATCGAAGTGGGTCTATTTCTAGACTCTCCTGGTCCATCAATTTGTCTGTTCTTTAGCCGGTTCCACACTGTGTTGATTGCTATAGTTTTCTAGTAAGTCTTGAAGTTAGGTAATGGCAGTCCTCCAACATTATTTCTCTCCATTATTATGTTGGCTATTCTGGATCTTTTGCCTCTCCATATAAACTTTAGAACCAGTTTGTTAATATCCACAAAATAAGTTGCTGGAATTTTAATTGGGATTGCACTGAATCTATAGATCAAATTGAGGAGAATCAACATCTTGACAATATTGAGACTTCCTATCTATAAAATCTTTCCATGTATTTAGTTCTTTGGTTTTGTTCATCAGACTTTTGTAGTTTTCCTCATATAGATCTTATACATATTTTGTTAGATTTATACCTACGTATTTCATTTTTGGGGGTGCTAATATAAATTTTATTGTGTTTTTAATTTAAAATTCCATTTGTTCATTGCCATATACAGGAAAGTGATTTATTTTTGTATATTAATCTTGCTATGATCACTTATTAAATCCAAGTGTTTTTTTAATTGATTCTTTCAGATTTTCAACATAGGCTGTCTTATCATCTGTGAACAAAGACCATTTCATTTCTTCTTTGCCACTCTGTATATGCTTCCTTTTCTTGTCTTATTGCATTGCCTAAGACCGCTAATCTACTTTTTGTTTCTATAAATTTGCCTGTTCTGGACATTTCATGTAAATGCAATTATACAAGGCGTGGCTCTTTGTGATTGGCTTGTTTTATTTAGCATAATGTTTTTAAGGTTTATTCATGTTGTAACATGCATCAATACTTCATTTCTTTTTGCTGCTGAATAATATTCTATTGTATATATACACCACATTTTCTTTATCCATTCATCAGTTGATGAAAATGAGATTATTTCTACCCTTGGCTATTGTGAATATTAATGTTATGAAGATCCATGAACAAGTTTTTGTTTGAAAACCTGTGTTTCATTATTTTGGGTATATACCCTGGAATGGAACTGTTGGGTCACATGGTAACTGTATTTATTGACTGTATTTGAGCAACTACCAAACTGTTTTCTTAAGCACTGAACACTTTTACTTTCTCACCAGCAGCATAGGAGGGTTACAATTTCTTCACATCCTCACCAATCTTGTTATCTTTTTGATTGTGGTAACTCTAATAGTTAGGAAGTGATTTCTTGCAGTTTTCATTTGCATTTCTCTGATGACTAATGATATTGAACATTTTTCCTGTGCCTATTGGTCACTTATATATCTTTACTTTTGTGATGCATGTCTTTGTAGCAGAAAAGTTTTACATTTTGATGAAGTTCAGTTTATCTGTTTTTTTGTCACTTGTATTTTGGTGTCAGATCTAAGAAACCACTCCTAATCCAGGGTCACAAAGATTTATTCATGTGTTTATTTCTAAGTTTTATAGCTTTCTGGTTTTTCTAGTTTTCTAGTTATAAACCTAGTTCTTCTGGTTTATAGTTTTAGGTCTTGCCTCTCTGGTAAAAAATAATTTACCATAAATGTGAGGGTTTATTTCTAGACTCTCAATTCTGTTCCACTGACCTATGTTTCTATCCTTATAACTGAACCACACTGTCTTGACAACTGTAGCTTTATAGTAAGTTTTGAAATAGGGAGGTAATTAAGAGTCCTCCAATGTTGTTCTCGTTTCAAGATTGTTTTGGCTATTATGGGTCCCTTGAGTTTCCATACACATTTTAGGATCAGTTAGTGAATTTCTGCAAAGAAGTCAGCTGAGATTTTCGTAAGAATTGTGTTGAATCTGTAGATCATTTGAGGATGTGGGCAGTATTTTTATTTTACTAGTATTAAGTTTTCTGATTGATTGAACATGTAATGTTGTTCAATTTATTTATATCTTCTTTAGTTTCAACAATATTTTTTAGATTTTGGTCTGTAAGTGTTGTACTTCTTTTGTTAAATTTGTTACTGAGCTTTTTATTCTTTTTGATACTTAAAGGAATTGTTTAACTACATTTTCAGATTGTTCATTGCAAGTATATAAAAATACAATTGATTTTTGCATAGCGATTTTGTATCCTGCAACCTTACTGAGCTGAGCTTGTTCATTAGTTCTGATAGCTTTTTAGTGGATTCCTTAGGATTTTCTGTATACAAGGTCATGTAATCTTCAAATAGAGATAGTTTTACTTCTTCTTTTCCAGTCTCGATGTCTTACATTTAATTTTCTTTCACATTAGTATATTTTGGGGAGATAAAGAACTTCTGAATGATTTAGAACTTGCCTGTCTCACCCCAGACTTGCGAGACTCAGTTACGATACGTGTTTTCATATCCCCTTCTCCAGCAAACCCGATCTCAAATGCCTTTCTGCAGACTGTGCTGCATCCTTCGTTCTGGCTCTTTACCCTCCAATCTAATCTTATGTGTCTGTTTATCTGTTGTTATTGGTCTTGTAATTGTTCTCATTTTCATTATTCTGACTCTTAGAAAACATGATCGTGATATTCACAGTGCTAACAATTCTACCAGAACTATCTTGAAACAAAGCACAACGGTTAGTTTAAAGGTAAAATCAAAGGCAGACTATTAAAACTCCAAATTACAGTGCAGTTGAGTCGAATACTTAAGTTGCATCTCTGGGAGGAATCACAAAATGGATAATCTATTCCTGTGAACTGCAAATTGTGGAAACAGTGACAGCAGCTGTGGAAGGTGAATCATCTGTGCATATATAGTGGGCATTAAAAATAGTTTTGCTTTCAGCTTCTATTTTGGGGGCCACTATATGGGTTTTGTATCCTCCCCCCACCAAACTTCTACACCTATCACTGAAAAGTGAGACTTTTTGCACCCTGAAAGGGGTTTGCTGGGACATGGGATTTACCGTGTGAAATCTGGAAGGGTGCTGGAGAAACTGAGACATTTGGTCACCCTAGCTCTGCTCATCTGCAGGCTGAGGCTCTCCACCATAACCTGGATGCAATGCACCTCCCTGGGCTCTCCCAGCCTAACGAGTCAGTTTGCGATTACCATTTTGCTGTTTGACTTGTTTTAGGATATGACCATGAGACTATGGAATATTGAAGAAATTGACCAAATTCCTTTGGTAATCGAGTGCAAAAAGGCCCTGGGCTTAAAGTTGGAACAGGTTGGTATTGGGTAAAATTAAGCCTAATAAAAGTTTTTATTAGTTACTGCTACAGTTTAATTTAATGCTTTGAACAAACATTTATTGGGCAACTGGGGATAAAACCATGAACAAACGGATTGAAATCTTTGCCCTAAGGGAAATTAAATTCTAAAAGGGAGACAAACAACAAATAAAGAAATAAGAAAAATGTGTAGTGAGTCACATAGTGATAAGTAATTTGGAGAAAAATAACATAGAAAAGGGGAATGGGAGCGCTGGAGGTTATGTCATCTTAAAGGGTGGTCAGGATTGGCGGGTCTCATTGAAAAGGTGACATTTGATCAAAGACTTGAAGGTGGTGAGGGAGTGAGACATGCAGATGTTTAGGGGAAGAACTTCCCAGCAGAGGGAACAGCCAGTGTGAAGACTTGAGTTAGGAGTGAGCCTAGTGTGTTTGAGGAGTGGAGCGAGTGAGGGAGACTGGGAAATGAGGTCCGAGGGAGCACTGGAGCAATGGCTGGGCACACGGCTGGACACCACGTGAGCCTCCTACACTCCAGCAGCAGACCCTCTGGCCAGGCCCCCAGTGCCCCAGTTCCCACAGATGGGGCTCAGATGCCTGTGTAACTCTAGTGGAAATCCTGGTTGTAGAGAGGGCACATCTTCTGCTTCACCAGGTGCAGCCAGGGGTGGCTACAAAGGCTATCTTTGGGCAGTGGAGACCTGTCCCTGCTGGGACCACAGAGCAGACACCTGGCTGCCACCTCGAGAGGCTGAGGAGTCTATGCTGGACCCTCTTGAGTCTTCCTTCCCTCGGAATCCTGCAGCCACCTAGGCTTGTCTCCTCTCAGAAGGTCCAGCTGGGAGCCACTGCTTCTGGGAATGACTCACTTGGGAACAACACTGTGGGGCAGGGAGGTGAGGGGTGGGATCCACATTGTCCTCATCTTTATGGCAAGCTGGTCCTCATGGCCGCTGTGGCCATGTTGGCTCTCAGGCCCTGGAAGCTGACTAGCTACAGAGTAGTGCTTGCCCATGTCCTCCACTTGCCAGCAGGAGCTGCCTCCTCTGAAGACCTGCTGTCCTGGGGTTGGGCCATGGGGAATTATGCTATAGAACAAAGAAGGTTTAATAAAAAGGCTGGATTTTCTCAGAGACCAGATTTCCCACAGGGCCTGCTCCAGGCAGGGTTTGCCCTCCCTTTCCTGCAGGTTTTAGTGCCCTGGGTGGGCAAGGGTGGCAAAGCACAGAGGCCAGGGCAGGGCAGGGCCATGCTACCTTGCAGTCTTGTCTCAGGGGACTGTGCTGTGGTGGGAACCCCTGAGAGACCTCTGCCCATGGCCCGAGTACCCACCCTGTGCTGTTGATCACTTATTTGTGGGAAGCGCATGTGGTGAGTAAGCTGTGATGCACTCACCATATGTATCCACTGTTTTCTTGTGCTTTGGCCAGAAACAGGCTCAGAGACGGAGGATGATGCTCCGTACCTTCACCATCTAGAAAAAATTCCTGCTTTGTTAAGAAACCTTGCCTACCTGCTTCTCATGGTTCTGTAGAAGTGAGGTGTTTCCAGGATGTCGGGGAGTTAGGATATCCCCTTGGCCGCATAGTTCTGCTCTGCACAGAGCACAGGACAGGGGTAGACACCTACCCCCTGTCCTCTTCACTGCCAGTGACTTGCCACTCCTGCCCCCGGGACCCCCATGGCAGGGGACATGAGCTGGCATTACCTGCATAGCTTTTGGGGGAAAGAGAGGGAGAAGCCTGTGCTCATTCTCTCTCAGCGGCCTGAAATTTCTACCCTTGTAGGGTTACAGACCCCAGAGAGAAGAGGCAGATCTCACTTTGATCTAGCCCAAGGTGGCTAGATCAGGTGGGAGAATTCTAACTTCACGCTTTGATCCCCTCTAACCAGCACCTCCTTTCTGCCCTTTCTAAATATTTCATGTCAGTGCAAAGAATGTGACAGGCCTTTCTCCATCTATGAAAGTGACATCCTTTCTGAAGCAGTAACCAAATGTGTGTTCTGCCGGATAGATGCAAAAAACCTGTCAGCAAAGTCATCATCAACAGAAGAGAAGGACTTACCAGCAAGAGAGTGCAGCCTGATGCCCACTGGGCCCTTTGAGTGACTTGATCACAGGCCACCTGTCATGTAGGTTTCAGGGCTCTGCAAGGATATTTCTCCGAGGCCACTCCCTGGCCTGGTGGGCTTGTCAGACTGGGGGAGGGGCCAGGCCCTGGCTGGGCCCCTATCACTGCCTCCTCAGCTCTACAGCACCTTTATTGAGTGGGATTGAATGCTTTGTTTTTAGTTTTCAGGCGGAATAAACCTAGATTCCTTTGAAAACAAATGCCTGTGAATTCTAGAAGCGTTTTTGCTGTTTCGAAGCTTTGTGTCCTAGTGTTCGTCCAGACACTTTCTGGACTCCCATTCCAGATTCTGGAGTTGACTGTAAGGCAGCCCTTTGGCTAAGGGCTTGTCACATGAAGAGGAAGATGTGTGGGACCCCTTCTGTGGAGGGCACCATACTGTGGCAAGGCATTGTGGGCGTCTCCCTGTCTAATGCTCCCAGACGGTTACCTGCCCAGAGCAGAGGAAAGTATAGTGAGGCAGGCGGGTGGTGGGCATTTCCATCTCAGAATGGTTCATGCTCTCTGGACTTTTCAATTTCCAATGTGTCCATGTATACGCACAGACCTTCCACAGCCTATATGACAGCATAATGCTTGCTGTCCTATACGCTGAGGAAAGTTATAGGACAACATAAATACTTAAGGAGTGAAGTTTTCAGTAGACGAACGTGAAGGGCTCCCTTTTCCACTTGGTATTACTTACATGATTCCCCTCAAATATCATCCGTATGCCCATTGGTCTGTTTTTATTTTTTTAAAATTATTATTATTATTTTTGGTCTGTTTTTAAAACTTAATTGCAGGGCCGATTTATTTAGTGTCAACTGACTGGCATTCAATAATTCTGCCCAGGAGCATCTAACCTGGTAGTCATTCTTTGGGCAGGTCCTGTGTTTGGTGATGTTCTTCTCGGTCACAACCCTGATGACTGCTCAGATTGGAGCTGGCTGGTCAGTAGTCATCCATTCATTTACATGAATAACGTATGAACATGTCAAAGCTCCACTCCACGCTCTCTCAGCAATTCGGCTCTCCTTGGAAGAGAAGTCTTATTGCTAGCGTTCTCCGTCCTCTGGCACGTGAAGACACGCATAGAAGTATTTCTTCCCCACCGCCGCGGAGGTTGGCCGGACTGCATACACCAACACTGCCCTCATTGACGGGCACTTAGGTTGTTTTTCGTTTGTGAACCTTCTTGTGCGAAGACTTAACATTTCTGTGGATGAGACCCTCCCACCCGAGGAATTGCTGGGTGAATAGATTAGTAGTGTTTGGTTTTGTTGTTGCTCGAAGGTCCCCTAAAGTGTTGGGACAAAGCGGCAGATGTGTCTGAGTGAGGAGACTGGGCAAGGGAGAAGTCTGAGTGGGTAAGGCCTTGCCTTGCAGTGGAATTCTCCCCACGAATGGCGTTGGTGCTCCAAGGCCAGCAGCCTGGCCCCCTCGAGGCTTTCGATCCCTCAGTGTACCCGGACTCTTTCTTCCCCTCTCAGGGTCCGCCGGAGAAGCGGCCCAATGGGTCTGGTCTCGACAGGAGGGCAGATGAGCCCCAAGGATGACGGGGCTGGTGACGCCGATGGTCCGAGTGCGGCCGAGGTGGGCCTCTGGCCTCCCAGGCGGAGGGCGCCAGTGCGATGAGACGGATGCGCGGTCCCGACGGGACCACCGCAGGGCGTGAGCCCTGGTGGCAAGCCGGCGAGGGGAGCTGGCAGCCCGGCTGCGCTGGCGGGGCGGACATTTCCGGAGCAGGAGGGGGCCTGGCCTCGCCGGACAGCCTAGGGTACTTTCCTGCTCCAGCTCTGGAGGGCAGAAGGCCAGGACCTTGTGCTAGCATGGCCTAAAGAAAGGGGCCACCCTGGCTCCACGTCCAGACGTGCACTTTAGAGGAGATTGGGCAGAGAACTGCGCCCGGCTCCGCCCACCGCGCGCCGCCGGAGCTTCAGTCCTCTGCGTTCCATCGCTTAACCCTAGCGCCTCTGTGAACAGGATCCTACAACACGCATGCGCCTGCCACCGACAAAACTCGTGCGCATGTCTGCAACTGTTGGAGTAAATGGTAATGAGGAACAAATTCTCGCGGTACCCATGCGGGCGGCGCCGTGGCTTAGTTGGTTAAAGCGCCTGTCTAGTAAACAGGAGATCCTGGGTTCGAATCCCAGCGGTGCCTTAACCGAGCACCCCGACTCACATTTTGTCGCTGCCCAATTTTGCTCTGTACCCTTACCCATCCTCTTTTGGGGTAGTGAGAGTGAGCCTAAGAAGCCACTTTGGGTTCCCTGCCTACGGCGAGGTGGGGCGCTAGCTTGTCCCATGGTCCGTCCCCTTGGGTCTCTGCGAGCCGTTGAGCGACCTCGGCGCTCTCACATTCGTGAATCAGAACGAGACACCCCGTTAGGGTTGTCTCCACCGCGGGGGGACTTTGCAGAGCCACTGTTCCCTCGCGGTTGCGTTGCGGAGGGCGAGCCAGGGTCTCCTCCACCATTTCTCCGGGAAGCGGCCGACTGGACGCCGTGCCTTGAGCCTCTCACTGGCCTGCTGACTTTTTCCTCTCTCCAGCGCTGCGGTCGCTGTCACCTGTCACAGATGGAAGACGGACTCCCCGAGGTCAAGTGAGGGCCAAAGTCAGGGGCGCCAGGGAGACTGGAGAACTGAATCTGGCCAGCGTGACCCCCAGGCTGATAGAAGTAGGAAAACTCCAGGGAGGGAAAGGTGGACTGGGTCTCTCCGTGTGCCGAGTTCAGAGCCGGGTCTCCAGAGGGCCAGGTGTGAGGCTGCTCCCTGAGGCCCAGGGCGGAGTAAGAATATGCGGCTGTGGGGACTGACCTGGGGCAATAGCATTGGAGTCTCCGGGGGTGCGGTGAAAGTTACCCAGGAACTCTTATGCCAAACTCAACAAAATTCATGGCAGGTGCAACAGGAGAGTTTCAATGATTTGCAAAAATTGCAGTAATGGCAGTAGTTAAATTCACCTGCCCCAGAAGTAGCTCCACTCTCTGCCTTCCCCGTGTGTCTGAGTTTGTCTCTTTTTTCTCTTGTTCTGAGGTCACTTCTTGCCCTTTACAGCTTGGTTGTTTTTGATTGACATTGCAAAGAAACACTTGTAAGTATACTTTGTGGCTCTGCAGTTCTGATAGGATCATCAGAGATGAGTTTATTGCTAATAGGGCTTGAGTCATCGTGGGGCTGATATTTTTCTGGCACATCTTTACTGTTAGCCTGAGGTATACCAGGTCAGTTTTGAGCATTCGAGCGTTAATTTCTTTCAACAATGTTTGTTGTTGTTGTTGTTTGTGTGGGGGTTTTTTTCGTTTGTTTGTTTTCAGAGCATAAATTTTTCATTTTTTTTTGCTAAGTTTATCCCTAAGTATTTTATTCTGTGTGATGTTATTGTAAATGGAATTGTTTTCTTAATTGCATCTTCAGATTGTTCATTGGAAATATATGGAAATACACTTGATTTTGTATCTTACCCTTATATCCTGCAACCTTGCTGAACTCGTTTATTAGTTCAAATAGGCATTTAGTGAATTCTTTAGGATTTTCTATATACAAATCATGTGTTCTGTGAATAGTTTTACTTCTTTTTTTTTCATTCTGGTTGTTTTTTAATTTCATTTTCTTGCCTAATCGCTTTGGCTAGAACCTTCAGTACAATATTAAATAAAAGTTGTGAGAGCACAACTTTGTCTTTTTCACGGTCTAAGGGCATTTGGTCTTTCATACTTCATACTTAATGAAACATGATAGGTACCTTTTATCAAGTCGAATAAATTCCTTTCTATTCCTAGTTTGTTAAGTGTGTTTATTAGGAAAGGGTATTGGATTATGTCAAATTCTTTTTCAGCATCTGTTAAGATAATGATGTGATTTTTGTTTTTTATTCTACTAATATGGTCTATTACATTAATTCATTTTCAGATGTTAAACCATCTTTGCATTCCTGAGATAAATCTCATGTGCATGTGTTTTTAACATGAATGATCAACATGTTCATCTTGGAAGTCTTACCAAGTGAGTGCCCCTAGCTTTCTTATGTTTTTACTCCACAGTGTTCCTGGCTTGGCTGTGGCTATTACATGAAGCCGAGGACCCATCCCTCGCTGGTGGACATTTTGGTAGTGTGGGATTTTCTCTAAATCTCACCACGATGGACAAAGCTGGGATGGTGCTCCCCTCAAAAACAGATTTCTTTGTGCTCATGAGTATTTTAAAGACAAGGTTGAGAGAGGATTGCTGAGTGCAGTATGTACAGGCCACACTGATTTCCCCCTCCTTGAGCTTTTCTGGAGTACCCACTCTTCCACACCCTGCCAATATCAGGGGCAGTTTTGTAAAATGCCATCTCATTGTTATTATTATTATTCTTTTTTATGCCTACAGCACCTGGTCTTCCTTGGTGGTCTCCCATTCAAGTGCTAACCAGGCCCGACCCTCTTAGCTTCTGAAATCAGACATTGGGCTTGTTCGGGGTGGCATGGCTGTAGACCGCGGATGGTGGCTCCATTGGAGTGTGACCCTAGGATTTTCTGCATGTAAAGCAGACATGCTAACCGCTACACTATAGAATCACATCCCATCTTATTGTTATTTTAATCCATATTTTTCTTGCTCGCAAGTGGAGTTGGGAATCCTTCTATATGTTTGTTGGTTTTATGCATTCCTCCTGTGACTTGCCTGTTCATATCCTTTGCTCATTATTTCAGTTGTATGTTTCTTACTGATCTGTAGGTAGAATTTATATTAGATAAGAATCTTTTGCTTATCATAGATATAATCAGTATTGTCTCTCAGTCTGTCATTTGCCTTTTGACTTTGTTACAGAATCTTCTGTCTTTTCATTTATTTACATTGTTTCTCAAGTCCTTTGGTCAGTTTACAGTGTTCTTAATCTAGGTCTTGTACGTTTCTTGCTGGGTTTATTTCTAGGTATGGTGAATGGGATAATTTTCTATTAATTTCTAATTCCTACACTACTGCTATGTATGATTGCCCTTGATGT